ATTCTCTTCCCTCACTGCCTGTTTTTGCCACTCCACCACTTGTAAATAAACCTCAATCGAATCATCAGTCACTGCCTGCATTTTGGGTCCTCCTTTTCCTCCAACACCACACGGCTCACCCCGCCAGCCGTGACAGAAAAAGTGGAAAACAGCTAAACATGAGAGGTTTTTGGACAAAGTTTATGTTTTTTCCATTGTTTAAGCACCGCTTCCAGCCAAGAGTGATACCATATATGCCCCATAGCTGCAGAAAAGGCTAACATTGTTATCTTTTTACAAAAAAACAGCTGAACATGAGAGGTTTTTCGACCAATTTTGTGTTCTCCATTCTTTAAGCACTGGTTTGAGCACCGTTTAAGCACCGGCACCGTTTCAAAAGTACCAGTTTGGCACCGGTATCGGATAAAACCTAAACGATACCCATCCCTAGAAAAACATGATCTACCAAAGTCACATTACTTTAGATATCTTCATGTTTTACTTCTAAATAAACTGGTGACTCTCAAAGTGGAGCCAATCAGAACCCAATGAGAATCAACAAGAAAATTGATACGGAATCAGTCAGTACATGATATCGATAATGGAATCGGAATCACTAAATTCTTATCAATTTCTATACCTATATATCATATGCTTTTTTAGTGCTTTTTTAGTGTTTGCCAAACAAAACATAGCTCACTGTGTTTTATCATGTAAGAGTCATGTGTAATATAATTATAGCCCCAGATTGCATGGGAGCATTTTTTCTCAAGTAACATACCAGACTTATTGTGGACTTGTTTTTAGTGCTGTGTAGTAATCAGTGAATGCCCATTCTGACGCTGATATAATACACTGTATTATATACACATGTACATATGTTTTTTAACAGAATAAAATTATGATACTGGTGCCCTGAGGTAAACCAACAAAATATATGGCCAAAGGTCTTTTTTTGTCCCCACAACTGGACTCACATTGTAGAGGATATCCACCCATCCCTCCATTGTAATACACTGGAAAACGGTGAGAACAGCGAAGAGGATGTTGTCAAAATTGGTAATGCCAAAATTGGGTCCGATCCAATACTCCCTACAGACAGTGCCGTTGGCACAGGTCCTTGCTGGAGCTTCATAGCCACAGGGGAAATCTGCCGTCTGCTCACCTGTAACCACAAAGACACACACTGACAGACTAAGGTATTTTTTTTAGAAATAGTCACAGTGCGCTGTGTGGCATGCAGGATGTGGACCCAAATGCAGACTCCAAGCCGCGGAAAGTAACTCCAAAACTGCTTTATTGCTGACACAAGGAAAAGAATACAAACTACACTGGGA